GCGGATATTGATACTAAATTAGATAAGGAAAAATTACCGGATTATTATTCTCACTACCAACAATTAGCCAATCAGTTAAAACAACCGGACACCATAAAAAATTGGTGCTTACAAAACATTTATGGGGCAGACTGACAAGAGGAATTTAATGCTCGCTACCAAAAACTTCAAGCGTGGAAATTGTTGGATGACTACCAAAAAGAAAGTTGGTGGGGCGATTTATCAGAGTTAGAAAATCCGGACAATCAGGCAAAAAAAGCGGAAATCAAAACCCAGTTGGAAAAATTTGAGAAAAAGCAAATAAACTGGGTCCAAGAAAAAGCCGAAATAGCAGCCGAGCAAATGGCGGCTTTCCAAGCGGCGATCGGTCTGAGAAAAGAATTATCCGTCTTGCTAACCGAAGCCGAAGCGGAAAATGATTATGAGAAACTAAGTAAAATATGAAATGATGAAATTTGTTGATATAATGAAGATGGTCGCCAGATTACGGGTGATGATAACGAAAGGGCCACGAAAATTTTACATAAATTATTAGATTTAAAATTGGATTGACTTTTCACCCAAGCCGAAAGTGAAAACGAGGTGGAGAAATTGGAAGATTATCGGCAGAAAATTAAGGAATTTAAGGATGAGTTTTTTGGACCAGACGAAACCATACTTTCCGCAGTTTGGAAAAAAAAGAATGAAGGATATGTGCCGGCTTTGCCTTTTGTTATAAGCAAAGAAGGCATCTTGGATGAAAAATTAGACGCATTGGAACAAAAAATAAAAAATCTAAAAAATTGAGAACAATCGGCCAATGCGTTGTTGCCAGAGTTAGAAAGAAAAGCCCAGCAGGATGTTTGGACGGATGAGGAATTGACCGCTTTGGAGAAAGAAATTACGGAATTTCCACCTTATATTGAAAAGCAACCTGAACCAAAATATTATCGTGGTTTCCAACTCAATTATCAGAACCAAGAAGTCATTAATCAACGATTAAAAAGAGCCAAAGAAGGTGCCAAGAAAAATGTGGCTGATTACAAAGCGGCAATTGAAAAAATAAACGCTATTTTAGACAAAAATGTTGAATCAGTTTATAGAATTACGGCTTTTTTGATAGAAGGTAACCCTCCTAGTTCAGATTGGGATTTAGAACAGTTGCAAACCGATATTAATTTTTTAATTGGTTGAAGCAAAACAGAAAATTTAACACCACTTCAACAAAAAGTTAAACAAGTAAAAGGTGCCGCCATTACTGAACGCTTACTGGCCTTAGAAAAAAAGAAATATTTGGCTGAAAATGAGAAGGAATTGAATGAGTATGAAAAAGAACAAGTTAAAAGCACGCAACAATTAGACAATTTAAAAAATGTTAAAAGTGTTATTAAAGAGTGAAAAGAAAATATTTTGCCGAACCGAGATAAAAGACTACATGAAGAATGAGAAAAGCATTTTTACGAAAAGGAAAACAAAAAACTTTACTGAAATGGCGGGAAGTTAAGGCGTGATGATTTAAAAATTTT